TATATAATAACTTGCATAATTATATTAAAGTATATTGAAAAAAATATTTACTGAGTTCCCAAATATGTCAGGCACTATTTGAATACCGATAATATAAAATCAGATATGGCATTGTTGATACAGAAATAAGGTGGGCCTTTATTTTATTATCCAACAGCTATAATTTACTATTTTTTTCTTTAAAATATTACTCATATCTATTCACTCCTGTATTTTCTTAGGTTATTCTCCAGTTCCAGCTCTTATCACCTCATATTTGATTTATTGGAGTTAGTCTCATTACTTCCAATCTCTTTCCAATCAATTGCCTGGTTAGGTTTCTAAAAGATACAATCATATTACTCTGCTGCCAAGAAGAACGCCAATATCTCAAACCTCTAAATAAATTCAGATGTTTTTAGGGCAGCATTTAAGGATCCCAGTAACTCAATCTACTTCCATTCTTTCTTCCCACACTCACCAAGAACCAACAGTTTTGCCACTTTCTTGACTCTGTCCCAGAATTCACCTCCTCGTCACACCCACTACCACACTCATTTCCATAATCATTGACTCTAGCCATGCTCATTTCCATTTTTTCCCTCCCAAATTTTTGCTATCTTATTAGGCACCGTTTACTTTTGCTGCTTAATAATGCAATCTACCAGGCTACCTGGATCTCCATTTTCTGAACTCCCAAGTATGTGGAGAAAAGACAATGTGGATTCAAGATCTATCTCCATCCAGGTGACCTGGATGAACTTGGGCAAGCTACTCCCTATTTCAAAATAATGAGATTTCAGCTAAGGAAATTCATGAAAAATAATTCCTGTGTACTTGGTAGGTAATATTTATGAAAAGTCTAGTGTACTGCCTAGCAGATAGTAGGTTCATAAATTATTTTTTCTTTCATATTTGTACTTTTAAGTGATGAATAAACATTTTTGTTTAGGTATTAAGGATTTTGACTATTTTCTGACTCATTTATGCTTGAAAAGCATTTCTATCTTTCTGTGAATGTTCCGAACACATCAATACTATTCGTCGGAATCAGTGTATATTGGTGGTATTCCTAATAACAAACAAAACAAGGAATAATATCAAGGTGAAAAAAGTTTATTTAATCAATATATTCAAGGAACTAAACTGTCTTATATGATGAACAAATAGGAAAACTACATGAAAAGCTTCAAATTCATGGAGATTTCAGTATAGACTAAATTTCAACAACATATATAGATAAATGACCATTATATAGACACTCTATTTCAGAGAACTAGAGAGTAAAATTTACTATCACTAAAAATGAAAATGTCCTTGATTAGAACATATAAATTCTGCATGAATCCATATTCAAACAATTTGATCTCTTAAATGATTTCAAAGAAAAGTGAGAATCAAATTCAAACATATAGTTAGTTTACTTCTCACAGAAGCTATTGCCTAAGAAGAAGTTAACATTTTTGAACTTGGAATGCGACTGAGTTTTTCAAAATTACACTAGAGATCCCAGAAGTTTGTCACCAATTTTAAACAGAAGTTTCCTTTACATATACTGACTTCTATTTCTAGTATTCACTGCATTTATTGAAAATTATAACTATTTACACTGACAGAATTAGTTACTAGGGTAAATCACTGCACTCTGAATCAATTTGTGATCTCAAATATAATTATTAGTTTACTCCTACTAGCTTAGATTTCAAAATCCATTTCAGCTGACTAATTTCCACACTTATACATTTGACTCATATACCATCATGTTTGGTTTTTTGATATTTTATACACAAAGTTTTCATTTTTATCATCTCAATATTCCTTGATTTTGAAAAAAGTTTTATCAAATCATAATTAATTTTCCAAAGGGGATGATACTTTTTTCAGAATGTTACAAAACTTTTTTTCTTCATCATTCTTTTCATAACATTTATTACTTCCTTATTTCTTAGACTATAAATAAAAGGATTCAATAAGGGAATTACTAAAGTATAAAAAACAGCAACGGGTATGTTTTTATCCTCTTCTTTAACTGAACTTGGTTGAACGTACACAAAGAGAAGAGAACCATAGAATATTGAGACAGAGAGAAAGTGGGATGCACAAGTAGATAAGGCTTTGCTTCTTCCTGCTTTGGATTTCATTGTGAATATTGTGAAAAGGATGCAGAGATAAGAGATTAAGACTATGGTAATAGTGGAAATTTGAATTGACCCTGCAAAGATAAGTATCATTAATTCATTGATATAGGGGTCAACATAGGACAGTTTGTATAATGGAAGGACATCACAGAAAAAGTGATTGATTTGATGAGGTCCACAGAAGGTTAACCTAAACAGAAATCCTACGTGAATCATGGAATGCAGGTTTCCAGCTATGTAGGCTCCTGTGGCCATCTGAATGCAGAGTTTCCTTGACATCTTGGTATGGTACTGCAGTGGGTTGCATATGGCCACATAGCGATCATAGGCCATTGCTGCCAGAAGAAAGCAGTCTGTGGTTTCTGCAAGGCAGAGAAAGTAAAATTGTGCCATACATTCATAGAGAGAAATGCTTCTGTCCTCAGAAAAGAAGTTCTCTAACATCTTAGGGGTAATGGCACAGGAGCAACAGGAATCCATCAGAGCCAGGTTGCCCAGAAAGATATACATTGGCGTCCGCAGACGATGTTCTGTATAAATTAACACCACCAAACCAAGATTCCCCACCATGGTGATCACATAGATGGCAAAGAACACCACAAACAGAAGGGTCTTCAGCTCTGGGTGATCTGTAAATCCTATGAGGATGAACTCAGTTATCAAGGAGTAGTTGTTCCCATTCATGTCAACCTTGTCTGCTGAGAAAGGAATTATGGAGATATAAGATTCTAACATAGAGTATATAGTTTTTCCTTCCCTTCACTTTCTTTCTTTTTATGACTGGGAGAAGAACTTCTTTTTCAAGCTTCCCTTACTGTCTCTGAAACACAGGCACACATAATTCTAGGGGAACATTTGTTCCAGTATAGTGGCAGCCTCTGTGA